CCCCGCGAACAAAACAAATAAATAAACAAAACAAAATAAACCAAGCCCAAAATCAAACACAAAAATACACTTTAAAAAACCCAATAACAAACATAAAAAACAACAACAAAAAAAAGGAAACAAAACAAAAGAGAATTCAGCAAAAATATGAACAAAAAAAGATCGTGTTGTCACCAGAACCAGCACCATTCCGTCCCCCGCGGGCAGCCAGATGTCTGGTGACTGTATGTGTGTGTGTGTGTGTGTGTGTGTGTGTGTGTGTGTGTGTGTGTGTGTGTGTGTGTGTGTGTGTGTGTGTGTGTGCGTGATTTCCACATTTATAGGCCATGACCCTGTCCAGGGGATTCTTCAAATGATTTTACCTTCCTTTGTTCTTTGATAGTCCGATTTATTAAAAATTATTCCCCCATCCGATCCGGACATTGGGGATTGTCTTGTTAGTGAGACAACTTCCTGGGCCTTCGGCATGTTGTGGCAGGGTCGCCAGTTCCTTTCCACCTCGCTTTTACTTCCCCAACTCGAAGTCAGGTACCCATTACTGCTAGGTGGGCAGGAGGGGGCGAAATAAATCCGTGTCCGAACCGAGGCTCGAATCCGGACTTTCCGCTTAAGAGACGAGCGCACTAACCGCTCCGCCACCGCACCCTCCGATTTACTAAGGTTTCGTTTTTTCTTCTTCTTCTCTTGTTTGTTTGTGGAGGTTTTGTTGTTTGTTTGTTTGTTGTTGTTATGTTGTTGTTATTTTTTCGGAAAGAGGGTTATGTGTGTGTGTGTGTGTGTGTGTGTGTGTGTGTGTGTGTGTGTGTGTGTGTGTGTGTGTGCGTGAATTAAGAATCTTCATTCCGGCCGTTTTAAAAAGATACGTCGTGCTTGCGAGCATTCAGCAAAGGAGCTCGTGTGTAATGGAATGGAAAATTCTCCCCAAAAACATACGGGATTCCCCAACCACTTCGGCGCCACATCGCTATCTCAGGATTACAAAGTTCTATCTGACAATGTTACCTCCTTTCAGCTACTAAGACAACGAGATCAGAAAACAAATACTCTATCTGCTCTACCAAAACTGTAAAATTATTCGGAATCGTTATCAAGACATTCAAAGAATTGCCTTCGAAAAAGCTTGACATGTTGTGAAACTCCAAATTATGTTTGACGTCCAATTTCTCAAAACTAGGTACTGAGCAGATAGAACATTGTAACTCCGAGGTAGCGGAAAGACGTTTAACTTACGTAAGGCTAAAAATAGAAGCGAGGTTGGAGCAAAGATCTTTGGTTGGAGGGTGTGTGTG